CTTTGTGAGTAAGGATGGTGAACGAAAGGTGCTGGCCGATGTTTACTTTATACCAGATCTGCGGAGTAACATCATCAGTCTCGGTCAAGCCACAAAAGCAGGTTGCGAGATCAAGATGAAAGGAGAATGTTTAGTCCTATATGATCGAGACGGGAAACTGTTGGTTAGAGCAAAGAGATCAAAGAATCGCCTATATAAGGTACTCATGGAAGTAGAAAACACACGATGCTTGCAGCTTATGACGTCAAATGATTCAGCAAAGTGGCACACAAGACTTGGACATGTTGGGCTCGAAACCATGAAGACAATGGTTAAAAAGAAGCCAAACGTGGAACATCTGCGGGTTTTTGGATGCATAGGATATGCGAAGTCAGAATCCGTAAACCTAAAGAAGCTGGATGATAGATCAAGAATGTTGGTTCACTTGGGAACGGAACCAGGCTCTAAAGCATACCGATTGCTAGATCCATCAAGTCGCAAAATCATTGTTAGCCGGGATGTAGTGTTTGATGAAACCAAAAGCTGGAAGTGGAGTGGTCAAGGAAAAGAAATAAGTGATGATCCAAGAATGTTTGAGGTTAACTTTGGAGATTTTGGAATAAAAGGCACCGGAGAGAACACGAACGTTGAAACAGAGGAAGCAGAGGAAGGTGACGAAGAGAAATCTGAGGAAGAAGATATGGTTCCTCTAAGTGAAACAGAGGAAAGTGGCGAAACAGAGGAGGATGAAGAACAAGTTGAGTCACAGCCCGTGTTGAGAGCTTTGTCGACTAGACCAAAGAAAAATCCAAGTTACCTTGAGGATTATGTTCTGTTAGCTGAAATCGAAGGAGAACGGTTATTACTTCAAATAAATGATGAACCATGGGATTTTAATGAAGCAAAAGAGTTAAAACAGTGGAGAGATGCGTGTGATGAAGAACTCTCTTCAATTACAAAGAACAAGACATGGGACTTGGTTGATCTTCCTATTGGAACAAAACCTATTGGACTAAAATGGGTCTTCAAGATAAAGCGTAACTCAGACGGAAGCACTAACAAGTATAAGGCGAGGTTAGTGGCAAAAGGTTATGTGCAGAGACTTGGTATAGATTACGACGAGGTGTTTGCTCCGGTAGCACGCATTAAGACTGTGAGATTCATCATTGCTTTAGCTGCCTCAAACGGCTGGGAGATACATCACCTGGATGTAAAAACAGCATTCCTCCATGGTGAGTTGAAAGAAGAAGTGTATGTAACTCAACCCGAAGGATTTGTGATCAAAGGAAGTGAGAGTAAGGTTTTCAAGCTTAACAAAGCTCTCTATGGCTTAAAGCAAGCACCTAGGGCGTGGAACCATAAGTTGAATAAAATTCTTAAGGAGTTGAATTTTATTAAGTGTGTGAAAGAACCCTCATTGTATCGAAAGAGAGATAAGGAGCATCTTCTCTTAGTTGCAGTGTATGTGGACGACTTGCTTGTCACGGGATCAGACTTGAACATGATTTTGGATTTCAAGAAGGGAATGTCGGCTAAGTTTGAAATAAGTGATCTTGGCAAACTAACTTATTATCTTGGAATTGAAGTATGGCAACACGAAAATGGCATCACGTTGAAGCAAGAAAGATATGCTGCGAAAATCTTAGGAGAAACGGGAATGGAAGGATGCAACGCAGTCCAAATACCAATGGACGCGAGATTAAAGTTGTCAAAAGCACAAGAAGAGACTTGCGTTGACGAGAAAGAGTATAGGAGGATCATAGGATGTCTAAGATACTTGCTGCATACACGACCTGACCTTTCATACTGTGTTGGTGTATTAAGTAGGTACATGCAAGAACCTAAAGAATCACATGGAGTGGCACTAAAACAAATCCTCCGATACTTAAGAGGAACACTTACTCTTGGACTGTCTTTTACTCGGGGTGACAAAGGTGAGCTTGTGGGCTATAGTGATAGCAGTCACAACGTAGATGAAGACGATGGAAGAAGTACAACTGGACATATCTTTTACCTTGAGAATTGTCCTATTACTTGGTGTACTCAGAAGCAAGACACGGTGGCTTTGTCGTCCTGCGAGGCTGAATTTATGGCTGCAACAGAAGCATCAAAACAAGCTATATGGCTTCAAGAACTACTCGGAGAAGTGACTGACAACTCGTGCAAGAAGGTGACATTACTTATTGACAATAAATCGGCGATAGCACTTGCAAAGAATCTGGTGTTCCATGGGCGCAGCAAACACATCAACAAGAAGTACCACTTTATTCGGGAATGTGTAGAGAATGAACAAGTTGAGGTTGAACATGTTCCCGGGAGTGAGCAAAGAGCGGATATTTTGACTAAGGCACTTGGTAGGATCAGATTCAAGGAGATGAGAGATCTTCTCGGTGTTAAAGATGTGTCGAAGGAAGGTTTCAAGTTTAAGGGGGAAAATGTTGGGATAAACTTGAAATAACTTAAGAGATAAGTTACTAAAATGTAAAAGAGATAAAGCTGAATATTCTAGGAGTTATCTAGAATAAATGTATTAGGAGTTATCTAATACAAGTCCTAATTGAGTTAGGATTAGGTCAATAGCTTTTGTTATATAAGGAGGTATCAAGGTGTGATACAACTTATGAGATTGAGTTTTAGTTTGAGTAATTTCTAAAGCTTAATAAAAGAGAGTTATTCTTAAGTTTGGTGTTCTTGATCAAAGCCTTAATTCAATAAGTTCAACTATAGTTTTCTACATTTCTTAAAGCCCAAGTTAATCCCAGATGTATCATCTCGAGATTTCTCTTGCAACATAATATTCAAAAGTTATGTGACTCTCTATAAAATAGATATTGTAATGTTTTATTGATTTTGTCTAATGAGATGATCAGATTTATTATATATATTGATCCTAGATTTTTCGGATTTCTATCTTTTTTTTCAAATTCCTGCAAGATAAGCTTTTTCAAAAAGTTATACAACTGTTATAATTGAGTTAAGAAGCATAGATAAAATAAAAATTATCTTACAAAATTAACAGAACATATTTATAGTATAGAATATGAGCTTTAGTTATATGTCATGTTTTTTTTTTTAGGTTTTCAGCTTATAG